GAGAGAGAGAGAGAGAGAGAGGGAGAGAGAGTAAAAGAGTCAGGGAGAGAGACCCTCCCTGAGGAATAGACCTAATTATCCTCACTGCTGCTCATTCACCAGTGTTAGATTTACTCGCTAAAACATGATAGATTTACTCGCTAAAACCTTTGACACCATCGATCGCCTCTGTACAGTCTTTGTGGTGTAGATTCTATAGCGGGCGGCTGGAAGGTGTTCTGCCGTGCTAAGGCAAAGCGACGTATCTGCACTTTTTCTGATTTTCAGTTACGTTGCGCCGCCATTAGAAATATGGGCATTGCCCCTCAGTTACGTCTGTTTGCCATAGTGAAATCTCCTATTTGTAGTGCAGATACGTCTTTCTGCCTTTGACCCAAGATGCAGAATGGGTATAGGCGTCCATTTAAACGCAGATACAAACATTCATATTTTTTTGCAGATGCGTCGGTCTGCCTAATGGGCACGGCAGTGTTGCTGGTTGGTCCCACTTCTCTACTTGGCCCACTTTTTTTATTTCTTCTTCTGTGCGTCTCTCTATCTCTTATTGCTGCGTGACGGTTGCTGTGTCGTTGTGTCTCTCTCTATTAAAAAAACAAAAAAAACAAAAAAACAAACAGCAACAACAAACTAACTAACAAAACCAAAAGACAAACGAATAAACAAACGAACGAACGAACGAACAAACGAACAAACAAGTAAACTAGTAGGTTCTATTTAGCATGTGTCTGTGGTGTAGCGGTTTGGAACTTGACCGTGGCTGGCAAAAGACAATTAAGTTCAATTCCCGTTGTATCGAGTATCTCGGGTTTTCTTCTTGGATGTTGTAACCCTCTCCCAACCCGAGTTGGCCCTAATACATGACAATGTATGGCAATTAGGGCCGAAATAATAATAATAATGATAATAATAAAATAGATATCATGTAAAGAGCAAATCCCCGTTCAACAGCAAGCTCTATGCGCTTTGCAATCTATACTATTACCCCTGCAGACCTGAGAGCATTCTGAAACAACCTCAACTTCCTGGGAAGCATACAGAGCAAGCAGCCATTTATGGGCACTAAAACACTAACACACTGACAAATCGGCGTCTTTAAAATAAAAATCTACATTGCGTTGACCGGGACGTAAAGCACTTACTTTGAGAAACAAAACCATCTCTCTTTTTATTTCTTTCGCTCTAAACGACCTTTCTTGTGTCTATTCGTTTCTGACAAACTATTCCAATAGACACACAGGGATATTCTATAATTTATCATCCCCCTTTTGTTTCCTTTGAAAAGTCTCTCTTTCTCTGTTTCCTTGTTTCAAATGATCGTTAACTTGTCAATGGAATTTTCTGTGCATTAAAACCAAAAACATTATTAAAAAACTTTTTTTTTCAATTTCTGGCCTAAGCCATTGAATGGATGTCATGTCTTTGTTTGTTTGTTTGATTTCCGGTATGTTTTTCTTTCCTTTCCTTTTTTTTTTT